TTTTTCAAATAAAAAGAGGAGAGAGAGAGAGAGAGAGAGAGAGAGAGAGAGAGAGAGAGAGAGAGAGAGAGATTAGAACTTTGCATTTTATTATGTTAATTTGATTTTGCGGATTAATATAAGCAATAAGCTTTTAATTTAAAATAATATAAATTATTTATAACGCGTTGAAACATGATTTATAGTTTTAGACGTAATTTACTTTTAATATTACAGCATAAGCTGTTAGCATTGCTTGATTGTAGCGCTATACTATTTGACAAAAAATTATTTTCTCGAATACTGGAACAAAACTAGTTATTTTTTAAATAGTTTTTTTGGATGCTGAAATTGAATTCGTTTTCCAAATTGTTCTATCATGAAAATTGTTCTATCGTGAAAATTTTAAGAAATCTGCAATTAAAGTTGCAAAAAAATTATTTTCATGTATTTTGTTACATTATAACTATGATGATCATGTTGGAAAAATTTTATTACAAAATTAAATATGTTATTAGAACTTTTAGTCCTCAAAAGGATTTTTTAATGTCTGCTATGAATAATAAAATATGGGATCTATGAATCGGAAAAGCTATGAATTAGTCATTGATGATTTACTAAATATTCAGATTGGATATGGCAAGTTGCTTGCATTAATTCTCTTGAAACTTTTCTTAAATTGTTTTCAGTATTAAATAGCACTTGATTTTATTTATTGGGTTACCTATTTTTATTGCTACTAACAGTTATGAGCAATTTATTTGATAGCAATAATTGTCCTTTTACAAATCGATTATATAATAGGTCATCGGAAATCACAGGGCATGAAAACAATTTTCTGCCTAAATCTTAATCCGATAAATTGCTAATAATCTAACGACGATTTTAATCCAATAAATTGCTAATAATCCAGCGGCATATTAAATTATTGCTGCAAAAAAAAGACATTCGGTACAGTTCTGCAGCGATAAATAAGTTCCATTTATTCAGAGATAAACATCTTAAAAAACCGTATTATATTTTTATTTTGGAGTCCTTGACTCGCTTAAAAAAATTATTTTCTTAGACATAATTGAAGAATCTTTTAATGCTATGTCTTCTATGTGATTTCAAGAAATTTAACTCGCTTTGTCCGTCTGATAGTGATGCCATGTATTGCTCGATGACGCTCCATTTTCGTTAAATTGATGAAAATGAGGACGAAATAATATTGTATAAAAAAACGATATTTTCCAAAGAAATGTGGTGGCTTTTATAATAAGTTATTGCTACAGCATTTGAACTCGTTTGCACAAACAAACCGTTGTTTGCATAATGTCTTTAAGTTGTTTTAAACGAAATTATTATTGTCCAGGATATGTCATGCAACTCTTCTAGAGTGGAAACGTAAAAAGTTTTTAAGTATGTATGGACACTACTGATCAAAAATTTAACTTCATCCCCAGATTGATGGTAAATATATAAATAAATTTTTCATAATTAATTCTAGTTTAACAACTTTATTTTCAAGAGAAAAAGTAATGCCATATATCACAAAATAAAATATAAATTAAATTATTAATTTTTTTTTTTTTTTTTTCATTTTTGACTCTTCAAAATCCTCCTTTAGAACAGAACAGCAGCACATATATTGGGCATTCTTTCTATTATATTAACTTTTTTAAAGTAATAGCTGCAATTTAAGTCCAATACATTTGCAAAAATTTCTAGTGATTTTAATTAGTTGGTCACATTTTTCGCACATTCCTGTCCTACTCATGCCATAATAATCGATTGGATTCGGGTCAGATAATTAAGCGGATTAATCCATGAATTTTAATTTATTTTATTTTTCTTTGTTTGCGAGGTATTTCGTACACAATTTTGATGTGTGCTTAGGATCGTCATCCTGCTAGAAAACAAAACCACGGCTCATTATTTTCTTTCCATATGAAAAGACGCTATAAAATATGATGTATTGTATTTTATCCAGAATTCCCTCAATTTTTATGAGATCTCCAACTTTCATCGGTAAAAGCCCTAAGCCATGATCCGTGATCATGCTTTACTATTGGTATTACATGACACATTACACATTTATCACGAACCTGGCGACGAACGTACTGTTTGTGTTTTGCTTCGAAAATATCAAATTTTTTTCCGAGAACAATATTTTATTACTGATTATTTATTTTATATTGATTGATTTACTGATCAATTTTTAGCCCATTGCAATCTTTTCACTTTATTTTATTTCCGTAGCAGTGGTTTTTTAGCGACTACACATCCTTTTAACCTGTAGTCGCGAAAGCGGCGTTTTATAGTCATCAAAGACATTGGCCTCTGACTAGTACAATTCAGTTCTTCATGAATTTCCGACGCAGTTCGCTGATGCTTACTTGCACGCAGATGAACTTGTCTTCTTTCTGTAATGTTGCCTTAGATCTCCCAGACCGATGGCGACTTCTATTTGACCCGATCTGTTGCTTCCTCTTCGCATTCATAATTGCAGTCTGGGAAACTTTGATCTTGAATTATTTTCCGTGTGGAATAATCTTCGTGTAATGCTACGATAACAGCACGTGTTTTAATACTTAAATATTTATTTTGACCTATACTTTTACACTAAAAAACAGAAAAAATGTGTGTATTTATCTTTATAATGTTATTCTGTATTTTCCAGAAATATAAAATCCACTTTCATTTAATTATAGTATAGCACAATTATGATTTTTAAATAAGACTTATCTCAGAATAAGAAGAAAAAAATAATGAGCAAAGCTATTAATACACTTGCCGAATTTACAATAATAACGTCATCAGAACAGTTTCAAACTTAGACTCGAGGTGAATATTTACCATGAAACAAATACATGGCACTATATGACCTGTGTTGATGTTTTATGCTTACATATTGTTATTGTTAGCTTCTTCAAGTTTGTATATTTATAGAAAGTAAACTTAAACTTTTGATCAATAGTGTATGTATATATGTATATAAATTAAACTGATAACAAAAATTTTTTTTAATCGACCTTAGCTCAAAAGCTTCCATTTCATGCCAAAAGAACACTCCTAAATTTTTATCAAAAAATTAAGATTTAGAGGTCGCTAGTGAATGATTTTTAAATAAAAGTTTCGATTTTCTTTAATATATATTTGATTTGATACAAAATAGTTTAATTCGGATTTTAAATGTGGTACTGTATGTTTCTTTTTCGTTGCTGAACACGATGTAACAATTGATTTAGTCCAACGATATATTATTAAGAAAAATAACCCGATTAATGTGAAAAAATGATCAAATTTCAAGATCGATTTTAGCAAAGTTCTAAGCGTTCAAATGAGTCACGCCCTTCAAATTGTAGGTCTATTTACTCGGAACAAGATCCAGTTGAAATTTTTCCAAGACCTCCTATGGCTTTTAAAAGTTACATTTAACTATATTATAAAACATTTAATGTAATTTTTAAAAGTCCTGTAGGAAGTCCTGGGAAAATTCCAATTGGATCTCGTTCTGGGTGAATAGACCTACAATTTGAGGGGAGTAATGACCCATTTAAAGGTACCACAAATCAGGGAAATCAGGGAAGTTATGGAAGAAAATTAAAAATGGTCGGGAAAGTCATGGAATAGACAGAGATTTAACAAAATTTTCTCGAAAAATAAAATGGTTGTAAAGAAGTTAAAATTTGAAATTTTAGTTTTTATATTAAAAAGCTAACGTAAACTTTAGTAGAGATTTAAAATGCTTTAAGAACATCAAAATTTTAAAGTTGTCTTCTTTTATTTTATCTAAGAAAGTTTTCTATATTATGAACAAGTGAGTAAAATAAATGTTAATTTTATATTTTTGTGATTTCTTTCAAATATGTTAACCTTTATAATAGCAGATTGATTTTAAAACAGGATTTAATTTTGACAAAGAAGAAACTTTATTCATTGAATTATGTTTTTTTATATTCTAAGTAGCAAAGAGAAAGAAAGGAAGAGCAAAAAATTGTGTTCATAAAAAAAAGAAAAGATAAAAAATACTATTAACAATGAAGTACAGTGTCAGCAATATTAATAGTAATTTACACTTATGTTAAATTGTTCTATCAACAAAATACTTAACGATTTTTAAATCAGGTTGAAAATATAAAAAAAATTTCAAAATATTATTGAAAGTCAGGGAAAATCATAAAATTTTGGAAATCAAGAAAATATCAGGTAATTTTAGGACAAAAAATTTATAGCAATCCTGACCTTGCTAAAATCAACCTTGAATTCGAAATTTGATCATTTTTTTCACATTAATCAGGCTGTTTTTTAAAGCGTAGAACTAAGTGAATTATTGCATTGTGTTCAGAGAACCAAAAAACATACAATACCATATTTAAAATCCGATTTAAACAATTTTTGCATCAAATCAAACATATATTAAGAAAAATCAAAACTTTGATTTAACAATCAGGTTCATTAGTGACCTCTAAATCTTATATTAGGTGTAGTAAAAAGAAATCCATTATTTTTGCATGAATTTGAATGGAAAAATAATGGATTTCTTTTTACTACACCTAATATTTTTTGATAGAAATTTAGGAGTGTTCTTTTGACATGAAATGGAAGCTTTTGAGCTGAAAGGCCGATTGAAAAAAAATATTTTCTTTTTTTCCTTGTCAGACTAATTTTATGTATATACGCACATACATATGATATTTTGGTATCAGGGTTTTTGTCTTATTTTTAAGTCAGGAATATGTTATTACAATTTCGATCATGAATTGTGGGACACCCTATATACAGACTTTTGCCATAACTCACAGGAAGGGATGGGATCGAGATGGACACAAAAGTTCCATATCGTTTAGCGATATTCGCAATAATATCGAGATATTAAATTTTATAATTGTACAAATGAGACTGTAGTGCTGTAGGATTTGCATATTTCAGTCGATTTTCAGCTTGGTTCTTGCTCCTTACTTCATATATCTGTGCACAGTCTAAATGCCAATCGGCAGAAACTAAGCTGAAAATCGACCGAAATGTGCAAGTAAATTCCTGCACTGAATAAGAGCACACCAAGAAAAACGCTTCGACTGCTCGAGGTATAGTCTGGCTCAGTTTATCAAGTATTGACTGCCGGCAGCGCTTTGAAGAGGCAAGAGAGGAAGTGCGCCGTTAAAGGTTTTTTACGCATACGTGACGCTTGCGAGTTGCGGAGAGATTGGTTGCCTGATAAAAATGTTTTATACATAATTCTATATAAATAATTTATACATAATTATACATAATTATAGAACAATGTATGAAATATGTCCATATATCTGGAGACACGATAATGTCTTGATAATTATACAAGTTGCCCGAAAATTTAAACAGTGTTGAGAATTGAGATCCCTCAATATTTCGGAAAGTAATTATTTTAGAAAGAAATGTTTCACAAAAGTTGTAAGATTTGAAAAGAGCTTAAAAATAATAATTAATCTAGTTTTATTGCTAAATATTATTGATTAGCATCACATTCCAAAATATACGAAAAAATAATCAAAACATTTGGGGCCCAGAAAGCATATTCTGAAAGAGTTTAAGACAAGTCTCCGGGATTACATATGTGATAAGATACTTCTTATAGGATTTTTGGGCGTTTTCTTTTTACAAAAAGATCTCTTGGTAAAGCTGCATACTTATCTC